ATTTTAAGTCCAAAATAAGAGTTTGCAATGTGATAATCTGGCATTGTATATTGGCATTCTACCATATTTTTTGGTATTATATGTTGACATTAGTGCCGTCGTAACTCACACTTATGTAATAAAAGCACGAGACTCTTATTTGGTATTTTCTCTCTATTTTACTCCTAGTTTTTCTTTTTCCTATTTTTTTTAAATATATGTCAAACGCCGAATCTGGTTAATTGCAAAAAGTCAAATTGGAAAATACATTGGGATGGAGCGAGTTATATTTTTATACCAATCCTTACTATTTCTCAAATCTGGATTTGATAACCCTCACCGTTCGACAGATTCTGAGGAACCCTCAGGGATAGGGTTCATCCTTTTCGATTTGATAACTCGCATTTTTATTAAAAATAATAAGTAGTATTTCACATGGTTGTAAGAACTTTTTAATAACTCTTGGAATTTTTTGGTGGGCTGAACCAAGTGGAGATTCAGGTCTTAATTATAGACCATTTTTCCATATAAAATCTGAATATACTTTCTAACCAAAAGCTTAAGTTTATCGGTACTACTTCATGTTTTTTATATAAGAGTAATATTATTTTTATTTTCTAGTGTGGGATGATCCTTTTGTTACACAAAAGTGCAACTCTAGAGGTTGGGGGTGAATAGGTAGAGTTGTTTTCTAGAATAAGCATTTGAGATATGCTAACTCTAGAGGTGTGTGATAAACGAAATAAAATCGCAGGAATAAAGTAAAGAGTAAGGGAAAGAAGAACATTGAGATATATACTGGTTCACCACCTCTTGGCTAGTCCAGTCCTCCGAGAGACTCTCTCAAAGCTCCTACTAATATTCAAACTTCAACGGGTGCTTGAAAAACCGATTACAACTTGAGCGCTTGAGTCACACAAGCATCAACTTTTTACAACAAGACTTGAGTCACACAAGTCTTAAGAACAACCAACAAGACTTGAATCTCACAAGTCTTAAGAACAACAACTCAAACAAGATGGCTTTTACAACACAAGAAATGAAGCTCACAAATGAGCAAGAAGTGTTTAAAGTGTAAGCTCTATGGATGACAATATCTTTGCACTCAATAAAATATATTTCTAGCTCTCAAAATAGTATTTTTATTATCAAGAATGGATCAAGAATCAAAGGCAATGAATGAGGAGATCGGAGTGCTTGTATTTCTTTAGAATGAAGGTGAAGAGGGATTATATAAGTGTAAAATGAATATGTCCGTTGGGGCAAAAGATAAGGCTAAGTATGAGATGTAACAGACAAAAAATCGATTTTTACAAAGGTGAGAAAATCGATTAGATGTTGCCGAGTAAAATTCCTACTGCGCGAAGAGGTGCTAATCGATTATTCCAATAGATGATTAAACGATTCTTAGCAGAAATCGATTTCACTAAAGGTGATAAAAACCGATTAAAAACTGGGCAAAAAAAACCCCTATCTGCGCATGAAAGGAAATCAATTTGTACACGAAGAATAATCGATTTTTTAGTGCGAATAATGCAATGACAGCAAGAATCAATCAATGGCTAGATGATGAGTCAACTTTCTCCATATCGTGTTGTTTCCAACAAGATCCCTGCACCAAGGCTCCGAATCACATCTCCTTTAATTCAAAATTTATTTTTGAATAATTTAGGGGATTTGTGTTTTTGGGGTGTAGAATTTGAGTCCCAAAAATATTTTGTGTGTCAAACGATGTCAAAAAATATTTGAGTAAAAATATTTTTGCTTACCAAAAATATTTTCTAATATCAAAATAATCATCTTAAAATGTTTGACACATCTTTTTGTAACTGACTCAATAAATTTATTTTTGAGCCGTTAAAAAGATTTTTCAACTTACTTCAAAAATGAATATACTTTTTAATGTATATCCCTCAAGAAAAAATAATTTTAAGTAAAAAGATATTTTGTCATCCTTACAACATTTTCTAGACTCAAAATAAGTAAAAGTCTTCAGAAAACTTCTCTTCACTTCAAAATCTTGCGTAGGGATTAGAATGCCAAAATATTGTCGTTATAAATTTCTTGATGTGTCTCTTTTGCTTTTTTTTTAACCGAAAAATAAGTTTTCGTTCTGTGTCGCATATGCCATTTATCAAAACCTGAAAAATAATTTCAAGAAATATCTAAAGGGGTTTGAATTGAACTCATGTCCAACACCTTACACACACAGACTCCAACACCGCCCAACTATCTTTGTCTAGTTATTACTTGGATGAATAGAACTAGCATCATATCTGCATCTCATTATAGCTAACCCGGTGAATACTAGAAAAAATCGAACCCGAATCGAACTTGGCTCTGATACCGTGTCAAGGAACCAACTCAATCCAAAGCTCAAGTTTGTGGTCATGGCCTTGGAAAGGTTTTATATTCTAACAAGTCTATGTGTTGGGATCTATCGCACAGCGAAAAAATCAAAACAATACTACTCCCATGATATAAAGAAATGTGAAACACTATCCATTGGTTTAAACTTTTGGTGAGAAAGTGAATATGAACTTTATATGGAAAAGTGGTCAATCTCACCCGGCGCTCCACCCTTTACTCGGCCCACCAAAAACTTCAATATGATGTCAGTGCTTTATTGACTAAGAAGTCACGTTTTCAAAAATCACCACCATCAAATTTTTCTTTTTGTTAATTTGGTTCCTTAATAATATAAAATAAGATTTTGATCACAAACTAGTTCCAACACTGTGACAAAAATATTTTCATATGACCATGGATCTATAGAAATAGAATATTTTTTTCATTTGTAAATTCTCACATTGATGAAAATGATGAATAAAATGAAATATCCCAATGAGACATATTTTTAGAAGGTGAATGATATTCGACAAGAATAATGCTTGGTTCACAAATAAAATGGTCACAAACTTCACAAACTTACTAATTGTGAACTCCAATAAATAAAATTAAATAGTCTAAAATAATTTTAAAATAAAAATTTAAACCATAAATAGTAAGTTTGTGAAGTTTGTGAGTATCCTGTTTGTGAATGTAGAATTGCTCATTCGACAAAACTACTAACTATGCGATATTTGACAAAAACACTTTAGTATATTTATAGAATGATGCATTATACTGACTTTAGTGAAGAAAACTCTCTAAATAAAAGCAAAAGATAATAAAAATATCAGTATAGGAGTGATACTCTCTTTGTGACCGAAATATATAAGAGTTCACACTGTCAACTGCCACGCCTTGCTGCCACGGGGTTCTGCCGTCAGTCCCCCGAGTGCCACAGCCAATTGCAGGTGTTGACCACTGTTGACCAGTAGTCCACCACCTCACATTACGAGACTCAATTGTTATAATGTCACCATTCACACTGCTACATTGTCACTACTCTACCAAACTTCTATTTTGGGAATAGAAATAATGGCACTCATATTCTGGTATTTTAATGAAATTTTAGTCATATCTATGAAAATTTCTTAAAGTTGTATTGCGACACACTCCGGTGGTATATTTGAATTATTTTAGACACTAGAGAAGATAATATGTTACACCCTACGTCTTAAGATTCATCTCCCGTTTCAGTTTATGATGCTTGACTAATTTTATTTTTAATTCAATTTATTTGGTTATAAGTGTAAAATTTGAAAATAAAATTTTTATATTTAAAACTACATCAAAAATTCTATAAAATTTGAAGTGACATGATTATATTACTTTATCAAATGACTAATGAAAATAAGTAAAGAAAATGAATAAAATTTGATTATGTGAATAATTAATGAGAAGATAATCTTAGAATAGATGAAGTATATTTTGGCAAATTTTATGCTCTTCCATCCAAAAAACTTAATTTTCACATTTGACAAAGTTAGTATTTGAGGTAAGTGTAATTTGGTCCTTTCTTATTTTATCCTTGGGTTATGATAAGATAAAATATGATGTGATAGTTGAATTAGTAAGAAGAAAAAAACGTGATAGTTGAATTGATATTGAATATCAAAGTTTTACTACATATACTCCGTATAGTATATGTGTACTTTGTTAGGTTATGCAAGAAAAAACCAAAGAATCCTAGATGGAGGGTGGGACCATGAGGTTGGAGATGGGACCCAGCTTCGTGAGTGACGAAATATAGAATACTTGGAATAATTAATTGTAGTAGTAATATAGCCGCTCTTCTGTTTTTTTGTGGTCTTAACCTGCTGTTATTTGTAACGGCAGTTTTGCTCTGTCATGATCCATTTTTTGTATAGTTTAATTAGATCCTTTCTTGTATGGTACAGCCCATCGTATTATCCCTCAATTCCGCTACCAAACTCTACATTTTTTTTATTATTAAAATCAACATAATTGTTTTCTAATTACCTTCTTATAAAAACATTTATATTTCCTCATTTGAATCAAAATAAATTTCTTTTATTTAAAGGAACATAAATTTACCTTTTATAACCATACAAGAAGGACGGGGTTATATTTTCATTTCTTTTCTAAACAAATTCTACATAAATAATTTTTACTACTGTCATTAAGTATTTTTTTCAGTTTTAACTTTTTTGTAATAAATCATTTTCAATCTTGGATCTATACTATAATTAAATAAAACATATCGTGTATTAACTTGATAAAATAATTTGAAAATATTTTATAAATTCAATCTAATAAAATTATTTTTATATTAATATCTAATATAAAATGTCACTTTTATTTAATTTGTGATCGTAATCTACCAATTTTGGCTAGAAAAATAAAAAATTAGGGAGTGAAATATTATCTTTTATTGGGAAATATATTAAAAAACTCAAGAGTAAATTAAACTTTTGTTGGATGGGACATGCCCCACTAATTGAGTAAATCTAAATAACCCTATTTTATCATGGACTGTAATTTAGGGCCTGTTTGGGAATAGCGTTAGATATTAGCATTAACGTTTTGGATAAAATTTTAACGGTGCAAATTACTTTGAAAATGCTAACGCTCAACACTGCCCGTATACAGCCTTTTCAAAACGCTAACGCTAACGGCTAATCCTCCAAACCAGCCCTTATTANATTATATACTATTCCGAGGATTATGAGAAAAATTAAAGCCTTCCATCCCTCCTCTCCATCTCTCTCTCTCTCTCTCTCTCTCTCTCTCTCACACTTATAAACTAATCTAGCTAGAGATAACCAGACATGGGAGAAAATGGCTTTCAAGAGTCACTAGTTTGGGACTTTAACCCGGCGGAATGGGCCAGCCCCGGCAGCGGCGATGTAGTGGCCCCACCGGGTCTGATTGACAATGCCATCAAGAGCGAGTCGTCGCCGCCGCCACCGTCTCTACTAGGAGAGGCGGTGGTTGGGGCGGCACCGTCCCCCGGTAGGAAGAGGCCGGGGTCTCCCCCTCTTCCTCCAGCGGGGGATCACGAAGGGCATATTTGGACGGAGAGGGAGAGGAGGAAGAGGATGAGGAACATGTTCAGTAATCTTCATGCTTTGCTGCCTCAACTTCCTCCCAAGGTAAATCTGTGTGTCCAAATCTGGTAGGTTTCAGGTTTGCCATTGCCAATTTGAGCACTTAGGTATGTATTATGCCACCCTATTCTTCTTTTTTTTTGTTTATTTTTTCGAGTAAAAGAGTTCGTATATTATACGTTACGCCTTCTTTTTTCACCCCCCATAGCCTTCTCATAAATTTCTGTACCCGCACCGGTAGCTCAAGTGGCAAACACTCAGTGAAGTTTGGAGAATGACTAAGGATCGAAACCTGGCAGCGACCGTTGTGGAGGCGACCACCTCTGTAAAATGGGGGAGTCTCTGGTGCGCACTAGGATATGGTCTAGCTAAGTGTTGTGCTTGGGTCACCGTGATTTACCTCCTCTCACATTCCCGTCGGGTCGGGGGTGAGGGGCGCCCGGGGTGAGCGATTTCACCTTTGGAGAATAAATTTCTGTGTTTTCTTTTTTTAGAGTTTTCCAATTTTTTCTTCCATTATCTCTTTAACAAAGGATCGTATATTTGTATAAGAACTTCTCTCTATTTTTTTTTAAGATAAAGTAATTAGGAGTACATAATTTTGAAACATGTCAAGTCTATAGAAGAAAAATATGGGACCGAATCAACCGACGGATTATTTATACTCCCTAGCTCTGTCCTTAATAGATTCAATCTCTCCATAATTTTTGTTCATTTGTATTTTTTCCTGATTTTTTATAAATTTAAATATTCTTGTCACCTACTACATACTCCCTCCGTTCCACAAAACTCTTCCTCTTTCGTTTTTTTTGTTTTCCATAAAACACTTCCACTTTTTATTAAAAAACCATTTTTACCCCTACTTTTTCATACCCTACCTATCACATCATACTTTTTTACTAATAACCAAACTATCACATCTTAATTTTTCTCATCATATCAGGGACAAAATTGGAAAGTCAATCAAAATTACACTTTCCTTATTTTTTCCCAAAGTCAAAACCGGAAGGGTTTTGTGGAACGGAGGGAGTATATAATTTTAATTTTTTTTGAAAGCTACTACGGAGTATGTGTTATTTGGTAAAACTTTTTACATAATTTTTATATGTAAAGTTATCATTTTTTTATTTCTATACAATTTTTTTAATAAAACAATTTCAGAATGATACGTGAAAATTTCAATCCAAATTTCTTCCGTGTAATCTGTTACAGGATGGAAGGAGAGTATCGACTAATAAAAAGTGTACTTGAAGAATTGATCAATTAAATTCATTAAATTTCATAACAAACTTAATTCCTAGGCTTACTTCAAAGAATTAAACTTTTCCCCTAGTTTTAGGCTTTTTATAGTTATTTCTTTTTTGATTTAGAGCCAACCTTGAATCATTAATTGTTGTGGTATAACATTGAATGTGTCTAACTATCAAAAAAATATTGAATGTGTCTAGCTCATCATGGATGAAAAGTGTTGATGCCTAAGATATTTTAAATTTATTGTGTTTAGATCTGATTTATTCTCTTTAGTTTTTTTAAGGCATTCTCTTTAGCTAATGCTATCTCATTTCTGACTAGTGTGTTAGTCAAGTTTGATTTTTTACAATTAAATTGGACGAAAATTATAAACCCGGTCACGAACTCGGATACTCGACTTGCCTGAAAAATCTGTCCACAAAATAGTGGGTTTTATCTTAATACATTAGGGTACGGACCGGGCTCAATCTATAAGAACCTAGGCCCGTATACTCGAGGTCGCCTAGGCTCGGGCTTTATGTTCAAGCTTGCGGCCCGACCCGATCACTTATTAATATTTTTATTACTACAGTTATAATAAAATAGTAGTAATAATAATAATAACCACTAAACTTAAAACAAAATAATGATGATAATATTTAAAAAAATATCAATACGGAATTGTATCTATTACTCCGTATTACCATATACACACCCATACATATATCTTTGAAGAAAAGAAAGAATTATAAGTATATTTAATCAAAACAATAATTTCCAATAATTACTACAGAGTATTATTTATCGCATCATTTCTATACTTATTATTGAGTATAATTCGCATAAATTTCTAGAATTACTACAAAGTACTTCTTCTGTCACGCAAAACATTTCATGCTTTGACTTTTGGGAGGAATAGGCTATTCGAGAAATGTCAAAATAGGTAGGACGTAGACGATACTTGAGGTACGTTCGATTAAATTTAAGAAAAGTAAGGACGTTTGTATCCATTTAGATCAAATTGTAATGTTTTATGAACATGTAAGATATATGGAAGTTGAAAACTTTTACGGGACGAATAAATTTCTATAGTTACTACAGATTTTTTCTTAAGAAATGGGTTTCTATTAATGCCTCAAAACAGGGATTCAACAACAGTCATAATACAATATTTAACTAATGGAGGAAGAGAATTCAGTGAAGAATAAAAGACTTTAATTTAGAGTTGGAAGATAACCCCATTATATTCGAGCAAGGTAGTGCGTAAGCATATTGGTCTGATCTCCAGCAAGGATAATAAACTCCATCTTTATGGCCCCGTAAATTGGAATTGAAGACTTCAATTCCAATTCTGGTGTTTGGTAGCATAAAAATTATGTGAATTTGGAATTGATAGTGAAAAAAATGAATTGAAATTGGTGAATTCAATTCTATGGAATTGAATCTCATTGAATTTCAATTCCAATTCAATTTTAATTCCATCAATTCTGTATACCAAACGGACCCTAATAGGAATAGTTCAATTTAAGCCCCAAAAGAATTAGGCGAACTTCTTATTAATAAGAGAAATACAATTTGATCAGCCTCGAAAAGTAACTTTTTGTATGTACCAGCCATTGATAATGGCATCAAAATGTTGGAGAAGATCCTTCTTTATATAGTTAAATTTATTTCTTCTCAACTAAATGTCAGGCTAGTGTTCTTGACCCTCCCGATGAGGTTCGTTTTCTTAATTGTATAGTACCGCCTCCATCTCAAAAGGAATGCAACAATTCAATATTTAAATATCACAATAACTTTTATTTTTTGTACTTTTTCATTGATTATTTGATAAAATATATAAAATGTTCTTGTCACCTCTTGTTTTGAATATTGTTTTTCAAAATTTTAAGATATGTAAACGCTACTCGCACGGTCCTAGAATGAATTACACTCTTCATTATTCAAAAATAATGGGATCTTGTGTTTAATTGTGTGTTTTCATTGATTATTTGATAAAATAAAATATTTCCATCACCTCTTGTATTAACAACTTTTGACGGATATGCATCTTTATTTTTTATTCATTGAACTTCGCTTTGTTTTGCATAATGTTGCAAACATTTTGAGGGAGAGAATACATTTTTTTTATGACGAAGTGGTTATATATAGGTAGACAAGTCGACAATAGTGGATGAAGCTGTGAATCAGATCCAGGAACTTCATGCCACCCTCCACCATCTCCAGAAACTAAAGCAGCAAAGGAAATCATCATTCTCACCGCCACAAAAATATGCCACCATTACCGCCTCCTCCCAGAGGGATCACAACCATCAGATGACGACGACGAGGGAGGCGTTCTTGGCCGCCGACTACTGCCTCGGTGGCTTTCCCAACAATAATAACAACATTATGGTCCAACAATATTTGCCGGCGGCACCCAGCAATGACAATCATGCGGGGGTGGAGGCGGCAGCATTTTATAAGACCTGGACTTCACCGAATGTGTCGTTGAACGTGTGCGGAGACGACGCACACATTAGCGTTTGCTGCCCGGCAAAGCCCGGCCTCCTCACAACCATTTGCTACGTGATGGATAAGTACAAGATCGAGGTGATTTCCGCTCACGTATCTTCTCTCCTTCATCTTCGCAGCATGTTCATGATTCATGCCCGCGTAAGTCCTCTCCATTCCTTATTTACTTATTTTGAAACGTATATCATCAAACTCATCAGTTAATAATTAACCAAAAGCTAATTCAACCAAAGATATTTTGGGAAAAATTTTTGACTTTGGTGAATGCAAGCAGGTGACGGGTGGATATGCGACTCAGTTTCCGGTGGAAGAGATATACAGGCAAGCTGCAGAAGAGATCCTGGTGCTGTGCGGGATAATTGACTAATAACCGCCATCTTCCATCCGATAAAAATATGTATTACTGATATATATACTGCATGTTTAATGTAATTTGACATTTTGAGATTCATTAAAATGGGTAATTTTCCGTTTTGATTCGTGTTTGAATCGATATATATTTTTTGAGTATTTGCTATGCTCAGTTCAGTTCAATGGCATTTAGTTTTTATTGGTTTATTAGGCTATCTTTGAATCAATCGCATATCGGCAGGACAGGTGATTATTGAATTTATATTGAATCAGCCAACTAAGTTTGAATCATCAATATGGAGATACACTCTCTTCGTCTAAAAACATGTCATGTTTTGACCAATAATATAATGTGCAGAATTTATCTTTTTTAAAAATACCTGTTTTAGAAATTCAAATACAAATAAAAAAATATAAATTACATTGATAGTACAAATTAGTTGACGAGGATTTTGATTCTAGACTAGTTCTTGGATGGAAAGCTAAGTCAAAATATTAATTACCCAAATAAAACAAACAAATTGCTGGAAACGCTGTCGGTGATCAAGAACACTTGTAGCCAAATGTTATTAATATTTCCTGAGAGAAAGAGGGCATTGATATAGCTTAGATCTTACAAGACTTATGCAAAGAATGAAGACGGGATCCCTCCTAATGAGGGTTTACATGACTATTTATAATAATGATAGAGAGATTGTGTCATGTGTGGCCATACCCTTAGCCATGTGCTCGTTTTAGGATATGCCTTTGAGTTGATGGCTCCATTATCTTGTAGTGTTTGGACTTTACTCCTTGGACCGTAATCTCTTTCAAGTAATATAGTGTTAGGGGTTGTTTCTGTCTCTACCATGGAACGTAGTTTGACTAGGTCACCTCCCACTACTATAGGTCAGTCCAAGCCCAACACTACACAATTATGGTCGGGTGGTAATTCTCTTAACTTCGAAATACATAATTGTGTGTAAACCATAAGAACATTCATCGAGCGCAGATCAAATTTACCCAAGAGCGTTCCAATCATGTTAAATAACTTCTATGCCCGGTCATGACTGTTATGCCTAGCCATGCTCCTCACCACTTTGACCAATGTCCTATTTCGTTGTTTCTGTTGTCGCTACAAATTTGTACCTGACCATTTTGGTTCATAGCAGGACAGATCCAGGCCATGGTTTGGATGTAAAATACACCCATCAATAAGTCATTCACTTTTTTTGAGCCCCAACTTTGAATTCCCATATATTTCAAATTTAAAATTTCAAAATTTGAAAGTCTGCCACCACTCTGCTGCTTGACTTCATTCTGTCTCCATAGGCCAACTTATCTAGTTGTCATGTCTTTTAAGCCTCCCCACAATGCAATGACGATGCATGGAGAGCAATTTGCATGTTATTCCACATGCCACTCATTGGTTCATCCGTATTTGCGGCTGGGTGCAAGGACTGAGGCCCTCATCTCTATATAAACCCCTTCTTGCTCTCATTTTCTTCACTTTTACGCAACTTACCTCCTCGAGAAATGTCAGTTGATTTCATCACCTTCAATCTTCCGAATCCCTTCAGGCTTTCAAGTATGTCCTTCAAGCTATCTTTTACTTCTCTAAACATGTTTCCTAGCCATTTTTTCCAATTATAGCAAATATTATTCTGTCTATTTTTTTGTGTTTAATCAATATCTCACACCTTCATCCCCTTCCTATTCTTGTTTCAGATTTACACATAATCTTGGAGTCATGGCCATCTTAAATCTGGAACCCCTAAACCAGTTCTCGAGACCTTTTAATCCAAATGTTGAGACCTGAGAGGACAGAAAGGTTTGCTCGCTTAAAATAGGAGTAAAATATAAGAAAATAATCAAAATAGAAGCTTTATATTTTTGTTCTCAATTAGAATTTATAATTTCAACAATGTCTATATAATACTCCCTCCATCCCCAAGAAGGGCTATCTCTTTGATTTGGCACAAAGTTTAAGGAAAGTAAAAATGTGTGGTTGAAACTTGAAAATGATGTAGAACAGAAAGAAAGATTGTGATGTTGAATTAGGATTCCTCAATCATATAATGAAGCGGGAATAATGATTAAATAATACCTGGTAGACCCGTGATCGTATGGTTGAGGGACGAAGACATGATCTTGATCGAGTTCCTCTTTAGGGTGTATTGCTTAGGATGGGATTAGGTGATCTTGATGATCATGAATTAGAGAGACAAGACGAAGGCCGAAAATCCTTTTTAGGGTTTTAAGCTCGATGTGTGATGTTATAATATATCTCTTATTTTTTCTTTAGTTGTCATAACATCTATTTATAATACACCCAAGGGTAAACCCTAATTATTTATGGTAATAGTAATTACGTCTATCAAGTAATTACCAATAATATAATAGGATAAATATGATAATTGATCAATTAATAAGATAAATAATCATGAGGGTCACATAATATTCTTACATTCTCCCACTTGCCCAAATGATTGTTTATTATGAGCATTAGATAAGTCTGGCAAGATTCTTAACACTTGTTTTTGTCCTAAACCGTAATTTTAGCAGAGAAATACATTCTTTGAATCAGTATTCAACTCAAGACCCCCATTAATCATACTATAATACAAATTTAAAACTTAGCAAATTTTAGGATTAATTGATAAGTAAACCCTTTAGACATTAATTGATAAGTGCTGTTGTGTAGGTGTAGTGGTGTGGGTTAGCAATGTAGCTATTAGGTCATATCTCGGGGTTGGGACGGGGGTAGGAGGGTCGCAGAGGGGGAGTGTAGTGTCACATGTGCGTTTTGGCTGATAGAACATAGGGACCCTCACAGGTAAGTCAATTAAGTTGGTGCAAGTTCTCAAGAGGAAAAGGATTAAGGTGGCATGCGTGCAAGAAACCAGGTGGGTGGGCACTAAAGCGCGAGAGGTCGATGGTTTCAAACTGTGGTATTTAGGCTCAGCTAGGGGAAGGAATGGAGTCGGCATTCTGGTGGCGCCGGAGCTGCGAGAGTTTGTGGTGGAGGTGAAGAGGATTAGTGATCGTCTGATGTTTATCAAGTTGGTTTTGGGTGGGTGTGCGATCAATGTCGTGAGTGCTTACGCCCCGCATGTTGGCTTGGCAGACGAAGTAAAGAGGGAGTTTTGGCTACGGAACCTACCCCACCAACAACCAAAAGGTGTCTGACTCTTTCAGTAGTAACCTCCGCTGAAGTTACCGGTATAACCTCTTAGCCTGCTCCCGAAGCTCCTGCACGTGCCACCAAAACCGAAACCGTCGTCCTTAGGACGCCCTCAAAGTGAGAACCTCAAACGGTCTCGCTCACTATACCACCAACGATTGAGAAGTTTCCCTAAACGAGACGACCATTTTGCTACATTTGTTAGTGGAGTGGGGACGACACAGATCGACTATCTTCTCCTGCGCAGGTGTGATCGGGTGCTCTGCAAGGATGCTAAAGTAATTCCGAGTGAAAACATCACTACCCAACACAAGCTTCTAGTGATGGATGTCATGATCAGGTGGGTGAAACATAGGAGAGCTTCGAGTGGCAACACACAAACACGGTGGAGGAGACTAAGTGGGGAGAATATATCTGAGTTGATCAGGCGAGTGCAAGAGAAAGGTGCGTGAGAATCGTCCGGAGAGGCCACTGATATGTGGGCGCAGACTGCTAACTGCATCAGGGAAACCGCCAGGGAAGTGTTAGGGGTGAACTCTGGCTCTGGGAGTAGGCGTTAGGGTGATTGGTGGTGGAGCGATTCAGTCCGAAGTAAGGTGGAAGCTAAGAAGGTGGCGTATTTGAGGTACATGGTCTGCAATGTTGAGGAGGAAAGAGCGGCGTTACGGGTGGAGTACAAGAAGGCACGTAAAGAAGCTAAGTTAGAGGTTACGAGGGCAAAGAATGCTGCTTTTGAACGCCTCTACAAGGATATTGAAGAGAAAGGCAGTGTTAATCCACTGTTCCGGCTTGTTAAGGTGCGTGAGAGGAAGGCCCGAGATCTGGATCACGTGAGATGTGTGAAGGGCACCGATGGTAGAGTGTTAGTTGAGACTACCAAGGTGGTTAAGCGCTGGGGGGAGTACTTTAGTGAACTCTTAAATGCGGGAGGAGACCAGAGGTTAGTTCTTGATGAGTTGGGGCAGTCTAGGGCGTCTCGTGTGTATTGCCCGCACATTTGCCAGGAAGAGGTAGTTCGGACCCTCCTCGGGATGCGAAGTGGGAGAGCTTTAGGACCAGATGAGATTCCGGTGGAGTTTTGGAAGCATGCGGGGTGTGGTACGAGGCTTTGGTTAACCAAACTTTTCAATGTTATCCTCCGGACAGCAAGGATGCCTGACGAGTGGAGGGAGAGTCTCTTGGTCCCTCTGTTTAAAGGCAAAGGTGACATTCAGAGCTGCGAAAATTACAGAGGCATCAAACTGCTTAGCCACACCATGAAGGTTTGGGAGCGAGTCATTGAGTATAGGGTGCGGAAAGGGGTTTGCATCTCTGAGAACCAGTTTGGTTTCATGCCTAGCAGATTGACTACAGAGGCCATTCATCTCGCGAGGAGGTTAATGGAAGAGTATAGGGCTAGGAAGAAGGACCTTCATATGGTGTTTATTGACCTTAAGAAGGCGTACGATAGGGTGCCAAGGGAGGTCTTATGGAGGTGCCTTGAGACGAGAGGAGTTCCCATCGTGTACACTCGCGCTATCAAGGATATGTATGATGGGGCTATGACCAGGGTGAGGACTTCCGGGGGCGACTCTGAGTCTTTCTCGGTAGGGATGGGGTTGCACCAGGGGTCTGCCCTTAGCCCTTTTTTGTTCGCCTTGGTGATGGACGTCCTAACCCAAGCTGTTCAAGAAGGAGTCCCATGGTGCATGCTTTTCGCGGATGATATTGTGCTTATCGATGACACACGCGAGGGACTTAACGCTATGTTGGAACTATGGCGCCTTGCCCTTAAGACTAAAGGATTCAGAATAAGTAAGAACAAGACTGAATACATGGAATGTCGTTTCAGCGGCCGGGAAATAGAATCAGAAGTGGAAGTTAGGATTGACTCTCACCTAGTACCTAAGGTAGACAGGTTTCGATATCTTAGCTCGGTGATCCAGGTTGATGGGGAGTTAAATGGGGATGTTGGACACCGTGTTAGAGTGGCTTGGTCAAAATGGTGGTTAGCCTCAGGGGTGTTGTGTGATCCGAAGATCTCGCTCAGGATGAAAGGTAAGTTCTATCGATCCGTAGTCAGACCAGCTATGTTGTATGGTGCAGAGTGTTAGGCGGTTAAGAAAACTCATGTGCGTCGTCTGCATGCGGCGGAGATGCAAATGTTAAGATGGATGTGTGGAAAGACAAGGTTGGATAGGATTTCGAACGAAGTTATCCGACATCAGGTAGGCATGGCGCCGGTGGAAGATAAGTTGCGGGAAGCGAGGTTGAGATGGTTTGGTCATGTGAGACGGCGGGATGTTAACGCCCCTGTACGGAGATGCGAGAGGATTACGATTATCGAGGGAAGTAGGGGAAGGGGTAGACCTAGGAAGAATTGGAAGGAGGTAATTAGGCAGGATTTAGGACTTCTCACCCTGACTGAGGATATGGCCTTAGATAGGAACCTTTGGAGAACTAGGATTAGAGTAGCTGGATAGGAGCTCGGTGCTGTAGAGGTTGTTTGTAGTGTGTTGTGTTTGTTTGGAATCTTTTGCTATTGCTTGTACTTGGTTCTTTACCCGTACTATACTGTGTTCTCTTCCATAATTTTGTGGAGGTTGAGCCGGGGGTCTCTTGGAAACAGCCTCTCTACTTCCGAGTAGGGGCAAGGTCTGCGTACACACACCCTCCCTACTTCCGAGTAGGCATGCATAAACATATTTAAGGACACACAAATCAAGGTAAATGAGGAAATTTCATTAAACATAAGTACAAATATGCTAAATAAGGTCTTTAGATAATCTCATCTTCGAAACATGTTCTTCGAATACTTTAGGTGGGAGAGCTTTAGTCATTGGATCCACAAACATATTTTTAGTACTAATATGCTCAACAAAAAGCTTATTTTCTTTAATTCTCTCAGGAATGAACAAGCTAAGTACTTTGTATCAAGATATGATCCAGCGCCACTCGAATTGTCAGTGTTTGAAAAACTAACGGGATACTCAATGTTCTTACATGTGAGTCACTCAATTTTTTACATAAAAGAAAAGAGGAGTCTTCTTTATTTGGGACGTCCTTAAAAGAAAATAAGGAAACTTTTTTTGCAACAAAGAAAATATCAAAAAATATTATTGAATGTCAATACATAGTTCACAGTATAATAATCCATTTTTTAATAAAAACACGTCACTCCTAAAATTATGATTTGTACTTTGTACCCAAGGCACATGGGGAGATTACAACATCTAATAAAGTTAGACTTTCTAAAAGAAAAAGATAGTATGGGTGCCATCGGATTAACTCAACACATATTCCACAAGTCGTCGTCCCCCCTGAGAGCACCGAAAAAGGTCTTAACGCTTGCTGCGTCAAAATGGTATTTAATGCCGTTATGGTGTTAAACACCTCCCCTCCTCGTTATCCAGGAGTCATTCCCCATGCATTAAATGTTTAACGCTGATGAAGAAGGCAAAACGAGCCATTGCCCCCCCCCCCAACGGTCAAATATTTGGTTGTTGCCTAATATATATTAAAAAATTTAAACTTCAACTATAAATACCTTCTCATATTTTAAAATATACACATACACAACATTCCCATTCTCTCATACAATTATTTATTCTTTCACATATTTCATATCTTTCTCTCTTATTTTTTAAATTTTTTATTATGAATTCCTTCGGTCCTCCATCTGGTCTTGAGCCAAACAAGTACGCGATGTGGCTTTACCAAACGTACGGGAATAATCCAACATTTTTTTGTAGAACTTTTGATGTAGTTTTGAACAATGTAATTTGTACTTTTTTATGATATATACTAATTTGTAAATAAAGTAATTTTAAAAAGATGAGATTTTACACGTTATTCAAAATGAGAAGTTTATTGTTGGGCGGAGGGAGTATATATTTGTGTTAAAATATATATTTATGTTAAATATAATTATCTATATTTTAAAGGTTCCGATAAAACGAGGGATGCAATGTGGGAAAGAAATTCTTTGACGCAATGAACAAGGACCCCTCTTATCGAACTCAAGACCAACTCACTAATAGTGTCACATAAAAAGAAAACTCCAAAAGTTTATCGGAGTGTACGAGAAATGCGCCCGGTCTCGGAAGAGCATGACGAACGATACTGTAATGTAAAATTTGGTAAGCCACCGCACGATATCAAGACGATGGACACCAAGACAAAGTCCTCGTTGATTTGTGTGGAGAGTTTTAAGCCGTTCACCGAAATGGCAACAACTCTGTAACCCCGAGATTGGATCGTCAAAAAAAGATCCTCTGCATAGGTTGACACGAAGGATACTGTTGGCTCGTTGGAACAAAGGCCTCCTGTCAACGTAGACGCCTCCAATGATGAGAATCACATTCCACGGCCGATCGGAAGAAAGAAGACAAACTTAATTGGCTCAGGTTCTGGGTCCAGCTCTGTTCCTCTCACGATGATATTGGCCAACAAATGGTTGAACAAATGCGGTTGTTCAACCTTAGGGAAGAAGAGAGAGAAACAAAGGATAGTGAAGGAAGAACGCGAAATAATGAAAACTAACCTAAATACGTTAATGAGATTCAAGCGTATGTATTGTGAGAAAAAAACGAGATCAAAGGTAATTATACTGTGCTTTAGTTTTTTTATTGATGAATTTTTTAAAATTTTAATATTCTTTTTATTGAATATAATTTTTTTATTTAATGAGTTATATATTTTTGTTTAAATTTAATGAATTAATGAAATCTTATTAATTTACTTTTACAAAATGTGCATTAAAACCTTTAAAAAAATAAAGGTTTAAAGCCTGAGGCTTCAAACTCATTTCCAGTGAAACTGTGAGGTAAGTTAAAGAGGTTAAACCAGATATGACAGAGAGAGAAAGTTTGATGTCAAGATTTGAAGTCCCGAGCTTCAAACGTATTTCTAGTGCCCTGAAAATCAATTCTGAGAAAAAGGATTCTTTAATGTTTATAGCGTGGGGTCCAGACACTCGTAATAAGCTCTAAAAAAAGATATTTCGATTGCCATCGGACTAATGTTTTGTTGTTTCAACTTATTCTTATTGCTTATTATCATTTTATTAGAATCAGTTCAATTCAGATCAAATAGAAAACAACTTTAAATGTAAGTATATTCAGACTAATACAGATCAAATAAAAAGCAAATCTTATGGTAGATCTAAGGTCCATCATGAATCTACATATTAACAAAATAAACTTTTTTTACTAATTAAATAAGTATTTGTTATTTTTTCAAATAAAAAAATAAAAAAAATATTTTTTTCATGTAAAAAGATCCACAAAATTAATATAAGGTGCACTAAATAAAAACTTATTGCAAACACGACCAAACTCAACACATATTCCGCAATTCGTCCCCCCTAAAAATCAATTCTCAGGAAAGGGATTCTTTAATGTTGACGGTGTGGGGTCCAGACACTCGTAATAAGCTCTCAGTCTTCGTCTTTCTCCATAATCACTCCACTCTTCGCCTGCAGTCTGAACACGGCACCGGCCACGCCACTTTGCAAAATGCCTCCTTTCCTGCTGCGTTCCATCCACCTTCTCCACTAAGCACCCTCGCCCCCTCCTTTCTCCAGTCACCGCCATGGCACTCTATGGGCCCCCACCTTCTCTGGTTTTCTTCTTGATTCATCTTCTTCTTCTTCAAATGTTGCAGCTTTCGGTGGCATTAATGGACACTTCAGGTATCTGTTTCTTATCTGAGCTCATTCCTTCCCCTTTGATCTTCTTTTACGAAATTCCCGTCTTTTTTCCTCTAGGATTTACTCAAAAATGAAAAATATTCCTTTTATCCTCGGTGGGGTTTTTTAAATAAAATTGCAATAAATGTGCAGATTGCCCTTTAGATTTAAGCGGTTCCAACTTCACACTGGCCGCTTCCGTCTGCTCTGCCGGAGAAGACAGAGGAAAGTGCTGCCGCTACATCAATTTCTTGATAGCCATTTCGGCTGCTCTATATGCCAACCAAACGGACAACCTGGGCGTGAATTTGGAGACATCTGAGGTTTGCCGGCAAATCATAGCACGGACCCTGCACCTGCACGGGGTGAGCAGGGCAGCCATTGTTTTGTGCGGGTTTGGAACGAAAATTCCGGTGAACTATGGCTGCCAAGGCCGGACTACAGTGTCCGACATGGTTCAATCTCCCAAATTCTCAGATGTGGCTGCAAATTGCAATGCTGCCCAGGTCTTAGATGACAGCCATTGCAAGAAGTGCTTGAATTCGGGAATTTCCTTTTTGCGCGATATCTTGGGTTCGCCCCCTACAAATACAACTTTGAGTACTTGCAGAGATGCAACTTTTGTTGCGCTTGCTAGCCGGGCTGATAATGCATCTGCCCTTGACTTAGGAATATGTTTCTTTGGCGTTCAGGGGCTTGTTCATCCTACAGGTATATTAGTATTGTTCACATTCAGCAAGCTCTTAGCTTTTCCTTAGGTTTTTAGTGATGCTGACTATCTGTAAGTGATGAAAATGAAAAGATGAGCAGTATTGACATTATTGGATTATTGTGTTTGCGGTTTTAGTTATCATTGCACAGAAGTGGGATGTTTATGCTTCTTTTGTTGAGACACTTTGGCAAACCACAAACCTCTAGAGTATAAGTTCTTAATACTTGGCATTACTAGTTCCAACTTTTTTTAGTTTCTATGTTCACTACCTCAAAGTTCATAAGCGGATATCTAAATTCTAGAAGCTATTACCATTTCTAAAACGCTTGGAAAAATCTGGTGTATAATTGTTAAAAGACAATTGATGTTAAAATTGTAATGAGAAATGGATAAAAGTTGTTTTTTGATAAATTTACAGATTAATAGGCTTATTTGCAGAAATAAAAAGCTCAGAGCTTAGTTATTATGCAACACTGCAGAAGACAACATTGTAATAAACTCTTATTTCAAGCTCTTAAGTACTTTACCAAATAGATCGTACAATGCGATTGTATTATAAGCTTTTGCAATAAGCTCTAAAATAAGCTCTCCTACTAGTTTCAGTGCCATCTCCTGCAATACATCCACAGCAGGTGTCTCCAAGTCCAGAGGATGCTGCCAGTCCCACTCAGTTTTCCATACTCCCATCAACAAATGAGGAACGGCGTCAATACCACCTCACATTGGTTCCAATGGTTGGCATAGCAGTTATAGTGTTGTCTGTTGTGATGCTCTATATACTTTCTGTTCTTATCCGACGCACAAACAAACTGGTAGATTTTGAGACTGACAAAATATCTTCAAAACAATCAAAAGTGTTCTCCCCAGGAAAATTTCAGGAAGGTATAACTATTTATCCAGAAATAATATTTCTAGCCAAGTCCCTTGTTTCTTTTTTGGTCCAAAGGAAAACATGAAATCCATGCAGGTTCAAGTGGCATGTTCAGAGAATTCAGCTACAAGGAGACAAAGAAGGCGACAAACAATTTCAGCACAATCATTGGAAAGGGTGGATTTAGCACTGTGTTCAAAGCTGAATTCCAGGATGGTTTTGTTGCAGCTGTGAAGAGGATGGATAAGGTGTCTAAGCAGGCAGAAAATGATTTCTGCAGAGAGATAGAACTACTTGCTCGCTTACACCATCGCCATCTCGTTAACCTTAGAGGTTTTTGCGTTCGAAAACATGAAAGGTATTCTTTAATTTCATTAAAACATATCTTAATTACACCTGCAATTATATGGCAATACAATGTATACTAACAAAAATCATGTTGCAGGTTTCTAATGTATGAGTATATGGCAAACGGAAGCTTACACGATCACCTCCATTGTATTCCTCTTATCTTCATTGTTTTTTTGTTCCTCCCCCACACTTTTTTTGTTGCTTAGTTCAAATAAATCCGTCTCTCCCATGGGAAAACATGTAAAAACACAACCTTATTGTTGATTTATATATAAATCCTACATTAGCCGGATCGAATGTATTGTTTGAGCTTCACATTCTCTGATGTCATATATCTATATCGATTAGACAAAACATTTGTCTTATTTCCTCAAACATTTTTTTTAAATAACTTTAAAGGTGCAGCAGGCATGACTCCACTCAATTGGTGTACTAGAATTCAGATTGCAATTGACGTGGCGAATGCCTTGGTATTGGCTCCATATTTCAGCTAACTTTCAGACTTGGCTTTGATTCAGCTATACCGTTGTTGAATTCATTTATCTTCATGGCAGGAATATCTCCATTTCTATTGTAACCCTCCACTGTGCCATCGGGACATCAAGTCGAGCAATATTTTGCTGGATGAGAACTACGTTGCGAAGGTAAAATTCTATCTTAGCTTGCTTTAAATCAAATTATATTTTCATGTATGGAAGATTATTTTTAAACATCCCCTTTAATTAATATTCATCCAGGTTGCAGATTTTGGCATCATCCATGCTTCGAAAGATGGCTCTATTTCTTTTGAACCTGTAATCACAGATATCAAGGGAACTCCAGGTTGGAAAAAAGTAGTTTTTTGTTTTATTTTTCACTCTTCCCTTGATTTTATAAGGGGATCGAAGATCGATACACATGTTCGTTGTAGGTTACATGGACCCAGAGTATGTGATCACCCAAGAGGTATCTGGGAAGAGTGACATATACAGTTATGGAGTGATAGTCTTGGAGCTAGTGTCCGGAAGAAAAGCAATACAAGACAACAAGAACTTGGTAGAGTGGGCCCAGGCATACATAACGTCAGATTCGAGGATAACTGGACTTGTGGACCCCACCATTGGAGACTCGTTCGACTACGACCAACTTTTGACACTAGTGGCAATCATAAGAGGGTGCACGCAGAGAGAGGGGCGGGCCAGGCCTTCCATCAAGCAGGTCCTCAGGCTTCTATATGAATGTGCAGACCCTATGCACAATGTGTTTGTTGACGAATATGATGAGGTTGAACGTAGAGGAAGAGCAAACCGGCCGGGTGGGGCCCTCCTACCTTCGTCTTCAAGTACTTCTCGTTCACGCTGCAGTAGGAGCGTCGTGAACGAGAGTGGGTCCCCTGACTCTCATTCCAACCTACCTTCTGACTTCTGATAGAGATATTGAAGCAAAGAAGTTATACTCTCCTCTACCTTAAAGGCCAAAAACAAACCAATTTACTTGTACTATAGAATTTTCATTCTTTTCTCCCTTCAATTGATGATTTTGCCAGAAAGTTTTGAGGGAGGAACTGGTGATATTTTCCCCTTTTATGTCTTACCAAGTAGTTTAAGTCTAGCTCCCATCCAAACTTTGGTGACATGAGCCTAATTTTATGAAAGCAATATGAAGGTTGTGCCCGACTGCCCGTCTTGTGCAAAGGGCCAAAGGGGAACGTGAACGCTTTTTTGTGAATTTAGTCAAAGGGCAGAATTTTTTATCTTAAATTTCTCTACAATCTATATAGAAATTTACCTTATTTCTTGCTTGTGAATTCGGCAACCATTAAGATCACGTTCTATTCGTCTGATTGGATTTGATTTAAGTAAGCCAATTAAGGTTTAGTTTGATCTGATCTAATATTATTTGATCAGATTCAAGTTATATTTAAAATTGTTTCAAATATGATCTGGTTTAATCTAATTACAATAAAAATAAGTAGAATAAGAGCATGTAATGGTTTGATCTGATTGTAGTTATATTTCAAACTGTTTTTGTTCTGGTCTGATTTGATTCTAATAAAAATAAGTAATAAGTTGGGAATAACATGCCTTGAGTTGAAATTTGAAAAGAATAAGTTCTAAGTATGACTCGTTTTGCCATCCATAAACCATAAGCTAAGCTTGACAATTGAATGTATTTGACAAAACCATCCTTCAGATTTCAAAGGAAATTCTTTCAGCTCATAGAAGATGTATTTTCACTAATCAATTTATGATTAATTAATCGGCCCGGTTCTAGTGACACCGGAGAACGGTGCCACTCCGGTGCCACTGGGTTTTTGGGGTACTTCCGGTGCTCCTTTCGTAAAATTGACGGTTCCTACCCCCCCTAACCCACCCCCCTAAACCCCCCACCCTACCCCCACCCCTGCACCCCGGCCCCAACGTGGCTATTATGCAATGCATAATAGCCACACATTTTGTGGTGGGGTTACGGTGGGGTTGAGGCCGGGGTGGGGGTAAAGTGGGGGGTTTAGGGGGTGGATTAGGGGGGTAGGAACCGTCAATTTTACGAACGGAGCACCGGAGGTGCCCCAAAAACCCAGTGGTACTGGAGTGGCACCGTTCTCCGGTGTCACTGGAACGTTGCTCTTAATTATATACGGAGTAATGATTAATGAGAAAATCCTAGTGTCCGAGAGATAACTAGGGACAAAGGCCCTAGTTAAGCATACAAAACAACAGGGGAAAGCACAAAGGAACTCTTGCATTAATGGGACTATTATTTTACAACTTATTCTAAACATGAACCTTACAAGTAATTGTCATTGTCTGCATTTATAAGCTGTGGATAATCAAATCGTTCTTTAAAGAATCATGAGAAGTGACTACCTTTTTTACCCTAACGTGTTAAAGAGTAGCAGTAATCCACCCAGACATCAATGTTTAATACACAGGCTGTGAACACAAGCTACGGTAACTACTCGTTGACTGTGAAAAACATAGCAACAGCTTTTGTACTCTAGATGAACTATGATGAAGTGAAGGAGCATGCATGACTCAGTGCTTCCACATCTGCTGTCCCATTTCTAATTTCTCAATTGGAACGCGGCAATTGAATGAATCTAGTCATGGTTGCTCACTCCTTCCATCTCCATGAAACTTTAATAGATATAAGAGTATAATAAATCAGATGACGAATAGGGTGGGACCAGCATACCTCGCCAGATTCAATCTCACTCTTCTAGAAGCTTTCTATCCACCAACGGCAGCGAGAAACTTTCTTCCGCTAACTAGTTCCTCATACACAACCACCACATCTTTTACCTTATCCAGCAATTCTCCCAGCTCATTCACGCCCAAGCTCTTGTAATCCAGTGGCCTCTTGTACCGCTGCTGATATATTTCCTCAAAACGTCCCATGAAAATCCGACACGAATAGCTCACAAAAATCTCCTGGAGCTCGTGCTTGAATTTCTCAAGGCTCTTGTTAGTAAATTCTGAAAGCGTCCCTGTTTCTAAATAGGACTTCTTTGTTCTTCCCCAATGTTCCTCAACAATTACTTGTTCATCGTCAGAGGACTCATCTGAAACTACTATCATAGACTTAGTGTTCTCTACCGGAACAACACCTTTTCCTTTTTTATCACTCTTCGTTTGAGTCAGTGGAGGAGAAGAGGTTGGTCCGGCTCTTGTGTTACGAAGATAGACAATCTTCTTAGGACCATTGCCCTCCACTGCCAAGGCATCACCAAAGTTCTTCAGAAGGTTAATAAGTTTGAATGCTCCATACTCTGATACATAAAGAGGTCTGGAATAAAGTCTCTGGTATTCTGAAGAGAGACGTTTAAAAGGTAGGCAGCCTCCACGTAGCTCAAGCAAATTCACCAGCTGGGCCTTTAAACCATTGAGATCCCCAGGCTGAACCCATGCCAAGTCATTCTGGCAATGGTTAGAAGAAATGTTTCCAGCTGAAGTTGAAGTGCTACCATATTCAGCAGGAGTCTGTGAAATCATTGACATGTCCCTAGCACTGCAATAGCTCTCGGAGATGCCTCTGTACACTATTCCCTCTTCTTCATTTTGAAAACCTTCTGAGTTAGGATTAACAGAAGGTCCCGTTAGAGCAGCAGAAATGCCCGTGGTTCCTCCACGATGAGGACGCAACCCTTTTTTAAGAGGGAGAAAGCAATCACCACGGACTACACTTTGCCAGTCCCAAACAAACCTTCCTGCATTGCGTAAAGCCGATGACACATTCACCTGAGAAGGGATGACAAGGATCACAGTATACCCACGTTGACCAAGAATGTGAAGTGCGTGAGCAAAATCCACGTCACCAGAGATAAGCATAATCGACGAGGGTGGAGGGTTGTCAAATGCAAAAAGAAACATGTCAACCAAGATAGCCTTATCAGCAGCATCCTTTCTTCCATTGGGAACATCAATAAGTTTAACCCCCGTTCTCTGACAACCCTCCCTCAATCGTCTTGGGAAGGCATTAAAATCTCCATAAGCAGAAAACATTCGGACAGCTCCGTTTATTATGGGATGTAGATCCAAAGCCATTCTTATGTTTCCAGCCACGTCTTCGGCGCGCACATCACTGGGAACCGGACAGTTCTCTATATCCCAAAGAATGGCCACGTGTCCATTCAAGCACTCAAAGCTATGTTGCTGATAATTAGGGTAGGGAGACCACATACTGGAAGTTGGATTAGAGTTCCCGCTTTTCTCGGGGGATTCTGAAGAGAGCATAAGAGGCAATGTATTTGGATGTGCCATGAACTGTCTCATAGAAATTTACTGCAATCCTGTAACATTTTAACAAGCAATTTAGCAAAGAAAGAGTAGAAAACACTATTCAAATAACAACACCATCATTGATGATGACCTTGTCACGACTCACGACTCACGAGGGAGGAACCAATGTTATTGTTTTGATTTAATAAATGCCCACCCCAGTACTCCCTAAAGTGAAATCAGATTTCTGGTTTTCAATCAATTTAATGACTTTGAGCCAGAAGATGTCTGTTGTGCACCAAGCTAAGATGCTCTTTACGGTGATCATGCGAAAAGATAATAATAGAGTGCAAGTATGGCCATTAATGGGTATGATAAATCAACTGGGTTTTTAATTGTAATCATCTAAAGAGAAATTTTAATCCATATCCAGCACTGCAACATATCCCTAGTTGGCCTAGCAATCATTTGCAGCTCCATAAGCTTTCTACAAAATTTCTCAGATTTTCCTCTAAATTTATCTTGTTTAAATGCCCGAGTTCCAGCTCTAGGTGTTACTCCCTCCGTCCCAAAACTAAAGTCAGACTTTTCATTTCAGGTGTCCTAAGATTGTCACAATTCCATATTAGGCATACCTAAAACACTAAAAATACTATAATACCCCTACTTATCCCGCCGATTTCCACTCACCAGTTTCTACCCACCCCCATTACTTCCCCACCCTCATTATCTTGTCACGGGCCATTTGGGATGTAGGTCAATTCAACTTTATTATGTGTGAAGCTAATTTGTGACTTTAACATTGGGACGGAAGGAGTACTAGGTTCTACTAATCAACCACTATCCAGCTAAAACTTCTTCAGATTCAAAGATGAATAAAGCTAGGGGTACACCCAAATTGGATGCCTCGTTTGTACACCAGTCAAACACAGATACTAAGTGTAGGTGATCACAGACATTTAGTTCTGTGTTTGCGTGGTGTACAAGATGAATCATAAACTACACTCATAGCAACAGCAAAAAATCACAAACACCTATTGGAATTCATTCATGTTACGGCGCATGATCTAATCCGAGACAACAAGAAAAAAGACCTAGCCAACTGAAAAAAAAGGAAATCAAATGACGTGTACTTGCAGAGCGATTGAAGGATCCAAGACGTGGTAAGAACATACCCGAACCTGCACCGGAGCCGATGACTTGAAGCAGAATTACTCCGTATGAAGATAACAAGGGTGAATAATGGCGGATTAGCCGGAGGGAGATGATTTTGGTACGGATCGAACTTGGAAGAGGTAACTGGGGCCAGCCGGCGAAGGGGATTGAATAGTTCACAATCGGTGGACCCTTTTAGCAATATGGTATTCATTACTCCCTCCTTTCCACAAAACCAAAAATAAGGAAAGTAAAATTTTGGTTGACTTTCCAATTTTGCCTCTGATGTGATAGAAAAAAGTAAGATGTGATCGTTTGGTTATTAGTGAAAAAGTATGATGTGATAGGTAAGGTATGAAAAAGTAGGGGTAAGAGTGGTTTTTAATAGAAAGTGGAAGTGTTTTGTGGAAAGCAAAAAAACGAAAGAGTAAGGGTTTTATGGAACGGAAGGAGTATTTCCTAATAATAAAAATAGAATATTATATTTATTACTTTTCTTATTTCTCCATATATTAAATATATTACGCAGTATTTTCTTATTGTATTGTTATTATAATTTTTCTCCTACTTAAATTATACTCTCTTTCTTATAATCCTTATATATAGGGGAGATATCCTTCATTATTTAAAAGATCAGTTATTATCAAATTGTATCAAAGTATTGAAGCTTAAGGTTCTAAAAAATCTAGTCTTTCCTTTTTCCGACCGAGCACATCGTTGGTCTCTATTCACAGTGACACCATGGTGTAACCGACCGATCTCGACAAGCGTGCCTAGCTAAAGCCACCTTCCATTGTCCTATCTTTCTCTCTTAAAAAAATACTCTCTCTCTCTTAAAAAAATCGTGTGCGTGATCGAAGAACTGAAAGTTACATTTGTTTGTGTTTTCTTCTAGAAATCGAGAGTATGGAAAGCGATAGAGAAGCAGACAACTCTCCAAAAGAAGAAACAAGAAACTCTTCGCTCTCGCTCCAATTATCAATACTCTCACCAGAAAAAAGAAGTCAGCAAACGTAATTTCAAGCTTGTTAGTCATGCAACGAAGATCTGGTTCTCTACTTCTAAAGGTTATCCTATATCTTTCTTCTCACTTTCCTTTTTAAGTCGTCTCATTTCATTCTTCCCATTTCCTAAAATGGAAATAAAAAACATCTAAACTTACCGTTTTACGCCTCCTTTTTTTCTCTCCCCCACCCACTCCCTTTTCTTCTTTCTTTCTTTCTTTTTTCGGTCAGACCTCAGTCCCCTTTTTTCTCTCTCTTTCCTCTTCTTCTCCCAACCCCTGTCTCCTTTTTCTTCTTCTCCATCACACACCGCCGGCCAGATCTTCTTCTTTTTCCGACCACTACCCACCCCCTCCAAATAATAAATCTCTTCATAATTTCGAGTCTGCATAAATCTCTTCTCTCCAAATTCCATGAACTTATCTCCACCGCTCTTGGTCATCGGCTTATGCAGACTCGAAATTATGATTTCCAGCAATTCTAAAGGGTCGGAAATCGTGTGAAACACAGGGGCGGAAGTGATTGAGTAAAAATCTTAGATTTCATTTTGGATTTCTTCATCAGCTCATTGCCTTCTTTTATCAATCGCAACTCTAAAATTGATTTTCTTGAGTGTTACTCCGTATAAGATTTGATTTTGATTTTTTTTTATTTTAATTTTATTTGTAATGTTATTTTAATTTTTAACTTGTTGAAAAAGAAGATATTTTGAATTTCTTGAAGAAGAGATGAATTGGTTGAAAAAGATTTAAAGACACTAAGGGGCTGTTTGTTTCAGCCTCTTAATGGTTCAGATGTCTGAATGATTTAGCACTTAATGGTTCAGACTGTTTGTTTCAGCCTCTTAATGGTTCAAATGTCTGAATGGTTAAGAGATTTGCCTCTAAATAGTTAAGTATTATACAGAGTCTGAATGGTTAAGAGCTCTTATCTGAATTGATCAGACATTTGCCTCTGAATAGTTAAACAATATACTCGCTCTTAATGGTTCAGACCTCTTACTGGTTCAGCACTTAATGGTTCAGACCTCTTACTGGTTCAGCACTTACCCATTCAGAAGTTACCAAACAGCCCCTAACACTAGGCATGGGAACTGACGCAAAGAGAGGAAGGGTAAAAGTGGAAAGTCAATACATTTTTCATCTTACATTAAAATTCGTGCCAAGTTCAAATGGGAAGTTTCAACTTGGACGGAGGGAGTATACACACACACACAGAGAGACACACAGACTTGATATTTGTTTTTCATTTTTTTACATTAAAAATTAAATCTTTACTCTATGGAGTATTAAATTTTACTTTCATTTAATTCATAAGAAATTATTAATATACAACTTTTTAATGATTTTTACTTTTAATTTTCTCATTGCATTTTTTTGAAATTTTTAAATTTTTTTAGTTTTGAATTTTTTTAGTTTTTTTTATTTGTTACATATATTATAGAATATCTTTCAAGAAAAATGATTTAAAAAAATTAATTTTTCTAACGACCAATTCCAAAAGCTACTCCCCCTTGGCTTTTCAGATTTTGGCTTTTCGATTCAAAATGCCAAGTGAAAAAGGCATTGGCCAAACAATGATTTTAGTTGTTCGCTTAGTCCAAAAATCCAAAGTTAGTCAAAGATGTCAAAAGCTATCCGAAAAGCTGGTTTCCAAACACGGGCATTATGTTTCATTGACAAATTTGTATCCTAATAATTATGATGTTCTAAATATATAATCATAAGAAATGTAAGCGAAGATTTTATCAAGATTTACAATTTTTTATGATATATTATATATATCCACATCATGAAATTGATAGTATTTTAATTATTAATGAAATGAAAAATGTTTACAAATGAATTTTTTTATTTGGATTTTCTTATATATAATTTTGATACTGATACATTTTTTTCACACAAGGAAACACTCAGAGTTAGAATTCTAAAAAAGTAGTTTTAGAAAAATAAAAAAACTTGCGGAATTGAACAAAATTTTGTCTAGTGCATCACACCTGTAAAAATACTAGAGTAATTTACCTAAATAAGACTAAAACATAATGATTTTTTCAATATGGGACCATATTGATAGTATTTTAAACAGATAGTATTTTAATTATTTATGAAAATTTTATGAAAACCGTTAGTATTCTATAATAAGAAATATAAGCAAAGATTTTATCAAGATTTACGTTTTGTTATGATATATTATATATCCACATCATGAAACCGATAGTATTTTAATTATTTATGAAATGAAATAAAAAATGTTTACAAAAGAAAATATTTTTATTTTTAAAATGAAATATAATTTCTTCAAAGGATTTTCTTATATATTATTTGAGTAATGCTAGAGTCACAAACAAACAGTTCACAAAATTCACAAACTTACTTTTTTAACATTTTTCTAGAAGTAAGATGCACTTTAATAATAAAAAAATATTTTAATTTAAAATTTACAAAAGAGTTGTGAATTTTGTGAACTATTTGTTTGTGACTCTAGCATTTTCCATATTATTTTGATGCTGATACATTTTTTTCACACAAGGAAACGGACGCTCAAGTAAAAATAGGGGTGTGTTTGGTTCTAACGGTTCGGTTTTTACCTAAAACCAAAAACAGAACGGAATACATTTTGGCGGTGCGGTTCGGTTCGATTTTGTAAAAAAAAAGAGAAAACCAATCGTTATACGGTTCGGTTTTTAGCAGTTTAAATTTCGGTTTTTTTAATTCTTTCAGTTTTTAAAAAATTTAATTTAAAAGTAAAATAATATTTTAGGTAGAGACCTATTATTATATAGATATGTCAAACAATTAGTAGAGTGTAAAGTTTGTATACCTACAAGTAAAACAATAAATAAACTACAATTACAAGTAAAAAAAAATAGGTCCACTTCCCCAGCCATTACAGCCAATGCAACAACAATTACAACATACTACATCAATAGTAAGAGTTGATTTCCTTTCCCCTACCAAAAAAATAAAAACAAAATAGAGACCAAGTGATTCTGATATTTTACTTGAGCGCCTTGTCAATTTTTTCCGCATGCTCTTGAAGAGCATGCCACTGCCCACTACAAACGAGAAAAGTTAAATGCTTTTGCATTATCGTAACTCACATCATTTGTAAAGAATGAGACAAGAATGAAACTTTCATTGCTAGGTCTGGGAAAAATTTACTGTCTAGGAAAAATTAACAGTATTGGAAACTTCAATTGCTGGGAAAATTTACAGTCTAGGCATCTACTCAATCTAGGTCACAGCAGACAAGGGAAACTTCAATTGCTAAGAATGATTTGATAAAACAAATCAAAGAACATGTGATCTAATACCTTCTTGGGTTAGATGCTTCAATCTTGGACAAAAATTGAAGATTCTTGTCACTAACTTCTGCGCTTGAAGAAAAAACCAATAGGCCAGGTTGAGGAGTCGTACTTACTCTGCTTCTCGAAAGTTTCGGACTGCTGCGAATCTGCACAATTGGACTCTGAAGTTATTTAATTGCCACAATTGGACTGCTGCGAATCTGTGATAGTGCGATTGAGGATTTGAGATTTTGAGGAACTAAAGCCGAGTAGCCGACTAACGCAGTAACGCGAATCTGCGATTGAGGAAGTGTTAGACTGCGTCTGCGAATTTGGGATCGAGGATCTGCGAAACTATGCGAAACTACTGACTAATACCCGTAAAATTGCCTAAAGTTTTAAACCTAAAAGCCTAAAACTAAGTAATATTTGGTTTTTAGCCGTTCGGTACGGTTTTAAATAGCCAAAACCCAAATTGAATGCAATCGGTTCGGTTTTTTGAGTTCTCGCGGTGCGGTTTTTGTTTTGGCATTGTTTGATTGATTTCGGTTCGGTTTTCCGGATCCACCCCTAGGTAAAAATACCAGTGCAAAAATGGTAAATAGAAAAATGAAACACGCCCGGTGGGACTCGAACCCACAATCGTTTGATTAGAAGTCAAACGCCTTATCCATTAGGCCACGGGCGCTGGTTGCTTGTTCTCGGTAACCTCTTTGATAAAACCTGTGAGTACTTCGTCAAAATTGAAATAATATTGTTTGGGAAAATTCAAGTTGTTATATCATGATGAGAATGAAGACCGTTGTCCGTAGAGAGATCGTCACAGTCTCACACAACTTTTTTGGTATTTAACATTCCATATTTTATTTGTAAGAATGAAAATAAATTTTTAATACTTCCTCCGTCTCAAAAATAGTCGTCTGTAATTTTTTTACGAAGTTTGATTGAAGCTATTTTCAATCTGATTTATTTGAAAATCGGTAAGGAAGTAAAAAAATAATTTTATATATTTAAAAATTACATCTAAAGTTCTATAAAACAAGAAATAACAACAGTATATTATTTTCTCAAATTAATAGCGAAAGTAGATCAAGAACATGAGCAAAACTTGACCATGCGAATAGAAAACAGTCAACTTTTAGTCGTGCATGCATTTCTGTTATTTTTCAAATACTTATGGGCTCAATGCCAATTCTCTTTTGTGTAATACACCATGTCATGACACCTACAAGTTGAGTAGAACATGCGGCAATAATATTTTTAATGTGTCGTTCGTCCTTGGCTCAGTTGGCTGCAGAGTAAAATAGCCGACTTCGGATATGCAGGTATCTAGTTGGACAACCTTGGTTCTGGCCTAGCTCGCCCTACTAGATGAATCCGCCCACTAAAATTTTAGTGCAATTAAGCTACTTGTACCCTTAAAGCTGTACTCCAGATTGTACATCGCGGATATGCCACATGCTTTTGAGTCACTGTGATGTTAGAGTGATGGTGCACACAAGCACAAATGCAAGTGCAAAATTATTTGATTTTACTAGTATATTGTGTCAGTGTAAATCATCAAAATATTGGTACGTAGCATTGGGTACGTCTAGCATGGTTGATTTTTTTGAGGTACTGAGTATAAAATGGGCGAGCACAAAATTAAAGAGATTTGACCGAACTCGGCCACACAGGGCTCGATACCGTGTTCTATCTTTAAAGTGCATGAGCCTATGTCCTCCGTCCGTCCGTCCGGGCCTAATCTACATGCACTTGGGTTGTGCACCCCATTTATGCATTATGACTCTCCCGCTCTCTAAGACGAGGCGGTAGCCATTAATTAGTACTCCCTCCGTCCCAAAAAGTCTCCCTACCTCTCTTCTTCTCTCTTATTCCCAAAAACCCTAAACCCCTTCTCCTATTCCCTGGCAGTGCCGAACAAGGCTTCGTGCATAGCCAACGTATAACCTCCTCCCTTGACAAGGGAAGGAATTGATACCAAGAGTGTATCACCCAGCTCGAATTAAATATAGGCGGATCTGGAAGTTATGTTTCCCCGTCCGAGCCAATAGGCCCGCCCGTTTTCATCAAATACATTTACTTAATTATTAAGAGATATTTACCTAAAAAGAACTAAAACATAATGATTTTTCCTAAATAGCATCGCATGTGTTTGTTTTCCCAACCTAGCACTTTTAGTCATTTTCCATTAGTCATTATTCAAGTAAATATTGAGCATCATTGGATATTATAGACATTATGAAGTACTATTTAGGGAATAAAATAATTTAAGTGCTATTTAGAGAAATTACTTAAGTTTTAATGCTATTTAGTGAAAATATGTCAATTATTAATTACCTAGCCCATGTAAATTTTAAAATTTTCTATAATTCATGTATAATGGCTCAATTCACTCACCTCTTTTGAAAAAAATCAATATTATTTTAATGAATCACTATGATGGATTTATTAATTATGCATAATGCCTCTATTATGTTTTCTATGTAAGTACGGTGACTGAGGATTTTATCTTAAACATTGAAAAAGAGTTCAATGTTTTTTTTGATGTTTTTGTGCAAAAAAAATTTTCTTGATACTTTTTCCAGGCCAGGCGGCCCAGTGGGCAGTTGGGCCCGCTAAGATGATCGGGTATGAGTAAAGAGTTTAGCCCATGGGATTCAAGCCGGCCCAGGCCTTCCCATGTAAATGGGCTAATAATTTTTATTAAGCTCGGCCCAAATCCGACCTGGATCCTTGTTTGCACAAGTGTATCAAGAAGGCATGAGCGTGGGAATCTGAGTCCACGGGTAATGAAATATACTTGGAATAAAATTTCTAAAACATTAACTGTTTTTGATAATATGAAAAGGAATGAATAAAATAACATAAAATGTAAGTTCTCTGTAAAAGTTCACTTTTATCGTTAAATGAAAAAATAATTAGCTGAATAAAAGTCTCTTTATAATGTATTTAAATGAAATCATAAATTATGAATATGATGTATGAATAATTCTAATTCGAGAATCACAAATGCTTTATTTTTTATTTTTTAACATTTAGGGGGAATCGGCTAAATTGTTCATTGTGGGCAGATCATATTTATCAAGGGATTGATTGTCTCAACAAAGTGGTATCATCGTCTCAAATTCTGGTGATGCAAATGCTGAAACCTATCATTTAAAAAAATTGGACACAAATATTTAATTGTCTATCTATTTTTTTATATTTTAGAACGAGTCTCGGTTACACAAATATTTAAATGTCTAACGAGTGTAAGCTAATTGTTTATTTTATTCAATGAAAAAAATATAGTTTTTATTGTTAATAAAAAATGAGTAAAATGCTAATAAACAAGACATAAAACAAAGACATTACAAGTATTTCTTTTCGTAATAACGAATCACTGCAAAAAAAATTTAGTTTCTTTTTAAAAATGCTCCTTTATCTTTATGGAGTATATAGATATCCACTTTATTAGCAATTTGACAAAATGAAAAAAAGCAACACAATTAACTTTGAACAAATTTTTTGACCGGAGTTTTGATTAATGTTATTTATATTTTAGTCATGGACAATTGTATGTTGTAGTTTCAAGACTAATAAATCATAATGACTTGAAGATTCTGATATGCAACGAAGACAGTATTTTCACAAATTTATACGAGTAATGTGAATTATAAAGTAGTCTTTCAAATATTAAAATCATTTAACTTTTGTAACTTAAAATAAGGAAATATCTATATTCCATTATATACTAATTTGTAACATTCAAAAATGAAAAAGGCCCTTGCAATGCACATTAATATAATTTAGTAACTTAAATATGAACCGTGCAATGCACGGGTGTGATACTAGTTCAGTTAGTTTTCATGTAGGACTCCTTGGAGCTATTTTTTGTGCATGTGCTGTCTTTTGGTGTGTAGAAAATATTTACTTTAAAATGTTATTTAAAAATTTTAAAAATTTAAAAACAATAAAAAAGGCCCTTTTATTATTGAATTCTCAAATATAGAGAATCAAGAAAAGAATAATTTTGAAAAGAAGAATATATTGGGAAACTCCACTGTTGTAAAGGACTATTTAAAAAATTCGTCCAATTTCTAATGTTGTTTTATTAACAGAGTACTATATTTTAAGTAACTTAAGAAGGTTAACGTTTAATAGAGATTGTGATTGATTATGAATAGAGATTTTAATTGATTTGGCTTACATCTGATGCTCACTACAATCAAAATATATCTATTTATATCTTGAACTATAATTTATTATGAAATGGCATAATTCTCAAAATTTAAATCCTTTTATTGTGTGCATATATTTTTACATACACAAACATATATTTGAATTAATCTTTTTTACTAAAAAGAAACAAAATTATCACCATGAGACTTGGTTCAAATTATACTTTAAATAATATTTATTTCAAAATTTAATAATGAATATTTTAATTTTTTTATATTCACCTCAAGTTGTGGAGTTAATATATTCTTGTTCAACGCATTGGTTAAATACTAGATACTAAAACTAAAATTTGAATTAATCTTTATTAATATTTATAAGAAAAAAAATTATCGCCTTGGGACTACGTCTAAAAAATAATTCTCCTTCATATATCTCCAACTGTAGAGTTAATATATTTTTGTGCAATGCACTAGTGAAATACCAGTTACTTAAATTATATTTTTAGATGTTATACATTTCAAAATTTAACAAAGAATAATCTAATTTTTATATATTCATCTCAAATTGTAGAGTTAATATATTCCCGTGCAATGCACTGGTGAAATACTAATTACTAAAACTAAAATTAGAATTAATCTGTTTTAATATTTAAAAGAAAAAAACTTATCGCCTTGGGACTAGGTTTAAAAAAATCATTCTCTTTCATTCATCTCAAATTATAGAGTTAATATATTCTCGTGCAATGCAAGGGCGAAATACAAGTTACTAAAACCAAAATTTGAATTAATCTTTTTTATTGGAAAGAAAAAAATTATCGCCTTGAAAATTAGTTTAAATTATATTTTTAGATGTTATTTATTTCAAAAGTTAACAAAGAATAATTTAATTTTTATAGATTAATCTCAAATTGTAGAGTTAATATATTCCCATGCAATGCACAGGTGAAATATTAGTTACTAAAACTAAAATTTCAATTAATCTTTTTCAAT